CATCACGCAGCACGTCTGAAACTTTATTTACTTTTTAAGCTAACTAGCTTGTATGCTGACGATTACAAGACGGATTTCACAATTAATATTTTTAACTGACCGGACAAGCTACAAAGTCTGTGTGCGCTTACCAGTGGTACTCTGAGTGGATGATGAAGACGGGCCGACTGCGGCAGCAGCTGGAGGAGTCTTTTCCGTTCAGCCATTCTCGAGTCGCGAGCAAAGTTAAGTGCCAGACTTACTTTTAATATCTGTTTGCTTACAATTTCATTCCAAAATATTGGTGTACGTGCTGCAGTGATTGACGTCACGACTTCCGGGTTGGAGAGCGCTTGAAAAGTGATCAGAATCTTCTCCGATTTTCTCTTAAATGTGAAAAAAAAAATAAAAAAACGGTGGTATATTTATTTGTTCATATTGTACTATTTATATATACGTAAGGTTAAGTCAAACTGACGGACGCTTCATAACCGGTTTAATTCGCTTTTTTTTCTAATTCTATGATTAATGGGAAGTAAGCCTAAGGGCGACGCTAGAGGGCGCCCCCCAACACATTTGTCGCCCTAGGCAATTGCCTATCTCGCCTATAGCAATCGCCGGCCCTGACCTCAGATGCTGCCCCCCCACCTCCAGAGACAAACTGATCGCAGATAAAGGAGTGCTATTGATCTTATTTTTTTTAAATCAATCATAAAGAATCCCATAAAATCATTGCTGCTAAGAGCAGGTGGAATGGACGGTTCAACAGAGCTATGGCTGTGGGTGAGTTTGGCAACTATATGAAAAAGAAATCTAGGATTATTCTTATTCTCCTCTATTAATGAGGAGAAGTATGCTGCTCTTGCTTTACAAAGGCTCCTCTTATACAGCAGTAAACCATTTTTCCAGACTAGGAAGGACTCTCGCAGGCCTGTGGAGCGATATTTTCTCTCCAGTTTCCAAGCATTTTGCTTCAAAGTGCGCAGCTCTGCATTAAACCAAGAAGCAAGCTTTCTATTTTTAATGATTTTCATTTTCAAAGGAGCTGCGTTGTCTAAGGCAGTACGCAGAGAACTAGCAATCCCATCAACAAAATAATCAACTTGTGAAAATATCGCTCCACAGGCCTGCGAGAGTCCTTCCTAGTCTGGAAAAATGGTTTACTGCTGTATAAGAGGACCCTTTGTAAAGCAAGAGCAGCATACTTCTCCTCATTAATAGAGGAGAATAAGAATAATCCTAGATTTCTTTTTAATACAGTTGCCAAACTCACCCAGAGCCATAGCTCTGTTGAACCGTCCATTCCACCTGCTCTTAGCAGCAATGACTTTATGGGATTCTTTATAAATAAGATTGATCTTATTAAAAATAAGATCATAAGCACTCCTCTATCCGCGATTGTACCTGAGGTAGTCATGGAATCTGAACTGGGTTTAGACTGCTTTGATCCAGTTGAACTCTCTGAATTAGCAAAATTATTGTCTTCATCTAAGCCTTCAACTTGTATGTTAGATCCAGTTCCAACCAGGTTATTTAAGGAGGTATTCCCTTTGATCTCCTCCTCCATTTTAGATGTGATTAATCTATCTCTGTTACAGGGATATGTACCTAAAGCTTTTAAGGTTGCTGTAATTAAACCTCTGCTTAAGAAACCGTCTCTTGACCCAGATGACTTGGTCAATTATAGACCTATATCCAATCTTCCTTTCTTATCCAAAATTCTTGAGAAAGTAGTTGCCAAACAAGTTTGCGATCACTTCCACCATAATGAACTTTTTGAAGAGTTTCAGTCTGGCTTTAGAGCTCATCATAGCACTGAAACAGCTCTGGTGAAAGTCACTAATGATATTCTCATGGCCTCAGATAATGGACTTGTATCTGTGCTCGTCCTGTTGGATCTTAGTGCTGCATTTGATACAGTTGACCATAATATTCTTTTAGAAAGACTTGAATATTTTGTTGGAATTAAAGGAACAGCACTAGACTGGTTTAAATCTTATCTATCTGATCGAATTCAGTTTGTTCATGTTAATGATAGATCTTCAACACGCTCAAAGGTTACCTGTGGAGTACCACAGGGATCAGTGCTAGGACCAATTCTCTTTACTTTATACATGCTCCCAATTGGTAGAATTATTAGACAGCATGGGATTAATTTCCACTGTTATGCTGATGATACCCAGCTATATCTGTCTATAAATCCAGATGAAGCTAACCCATTACATAGATTACAGGCATGTCTTGAAGACATAAAAACCTGGATGACTCTTAACTTTCTGCTTCTGAATGCAGACAAAACAGAAGTTATAGTCTTTGGACCAGAGTCTCTGAAAAAGAAACTGATTAGCCAGTCACTTCATTTGGATGGGATTAAACTGATTTCAGATAATAAAGTAAAAAATCTTGGTGTTGTTTTTGATCAGGACCTGTCATTTAGGTCCCATATCAAGGAGGTTTCTAGAATTTCCTTCTTTCATCTGAGGAACATTGCAAAAATTAGAAATATCCTGTCCAGGGGTGATGCTGAGAAACTAGTCCATGCATTTGTTACTTCAAGGCTGGACTATTGTAATTCTTTACTATCAGGAAGTCCACAAACTGTAGTTAAAAGCCTTCAGCTGATCCAAAATGCTGCAGCCAGAGTTCTAATGAAAATTAAAAAGAGAGATCATATCTCGCCTATCCTGGCTTCTCTTCATTGGCTTCCTGTTAAATCAAGAATAGAATTTAAAATCCTCCTTCTCACATATAAAGCCTTAAATGGCCAAGCTCCATCTTATATCAGAGATCTGATTGTTCCTTATGTTCCTAACAGAGCACTTCGCTCTCAATCTGCAGGTTTACTAGTGGTTCCTAGAATTTCTAAAAGTAGAATGGGAGGCAGATCTTTTAGTTATCAGGCTCCTCTCCTGTGGAACCAACTACCAGTTTTAGTCCGTGAGGCAGACACCCTGTCTACTTTTAAGGCTAGGCTTAAAACTTTCCTTTTTGATAAAGCTTATAGTTAGAGTGGCTCAGGTTATCCTGAGCTATCTCTATAGTTATGCTGCTATAGGCTTAGACTTTTGGAGGACATAGGGACCCCCATTTCATCATTCTGCTTCATTCTCTCTCTGTTCTCCTATTCTGCAGAATCTGTTAGTTCAATCTCTAACCTTCTGCTCTCTCTGCTTTTCCTCAGAGTAGCTTTGCCTCGTCTGTTCCTGTTTGGCTGTGACGTCATCCTGGAAAGAAACATCAGCTGTGCTGCTTCTATCAACACCCTTGTTTATAGATGTTGGAGATCGGCCTGTTTTCCAGTGTGGTCCTGTTTCTCTGACCGTGACTGAGTGGATGTGCTTTCTTCGTCCTCTGGCATGGGAGCTGCCTTGGAGCTCGTCTGCCTGGCTGTGTGTTTCCTGGACGGGGCCGCCTTTTACAGCTGCTTTTTGTATCTCTGCTTCTGTCTCCTTGAACCCCAGTCGGCCTCGGCAGATGGCCGCTCACACTGAGCCTGGTTCTGCTGGAGGTTTCTTCCTGTTAAAAGGGAGTTTTTCCTCTCCACTGTCGCTACAAGCATGCTTAGTGTGGGGGATTGTATTTGAGTCAATGAGTCAATGCAATCAACTGGTTTTCCTTAGATAGAAAACTTTGTATCAATTTGATCTGGTTGAACTGTAAAGTGCCTTGAGATGACATGTGTTGTGAATTTGGCGCTATATAAATAAACTGAATTGAAAATTGAATTGAAGGGAAATAAATTAAGCTTTAGCACTCTGCAGCACTGCTCAGCGACACAGAGGAGAGAGAAAGTGAAAAATTTATAACTGCACTATCTGATAATGATCTTCACAGGTCTTAACGTTAGCAGGTCCTAGAGTGGGCAGGTTTTGACGTTAGCACGTCTTAACAGTCGCAGGTTTTAGCGTTCGCAAGTCTTAACGATCGCAGGCTTTAACGTCAGCAGGTCCTAATGTAGAAGATTTCAACATTAGGAGATCCTAATGTTAGCAGGTTTTAACGTTAGCAGGTCTTAATGTTAGCAAGTCCTAAGATTAGCAGGTTTTAATGTTAGCAGGTCTTAACATTTGCAGGTCTTAATGTTCACAAGTCTTAGCATAAGCAGGTCCTAACGATAAGATCTGGAAATATTAAGACTTGCGAACGTTAAGACCTGTGAACCTTAAGACCTGCAACGGTCTTAACGTTCACAGGTCTCAATGTTAGCAGGTCCTTAGGTTGGCAGGTTTTAACATTAGCGGGTCTTAACATTCGCGGGTCTTATTGTTTGCAGGTCTTTACGTTCGCAAGTTTCAACGTTAGCAGGTCCTAACATGAGCAGGTCTTACAATTAGCAAGTTTTACAATTAGCAGGTCCTTATGTTAGCAGGTTTCAATGTTAGCGGGTCTTAACTTTAGCCGGTTTCAACGTTATCATGTCCTAATGTTAGCAGGTTTCAATGTTAGCGGGCCTTAGCATTAGCAGGTGTTATGTTAGCAGGTCTAACTTTCACTCCCGATGAGCCGTTTTCAAAACTTCCAAATGTTTTCCAAATATTCTGTTTGGATCAGACGCTTGTCTTTGGCTCCTCCTACTTAACAGCTTGCTCTGATGTCTGGGAATCATTTGACTAACCGCATCGTTACAACCTTTTCACCAGGTCAATTTTAGGACATGACGGGGATGACCCAGCAGAGAATGCAGCACTGTGATTGGCTCTTTAACTGTCAGCCTGTCATCACTGGCAGGAATCACTCAGAGAGATATTTACAGTGTTTCATTCTGCTGTAGGAGGTAAATATTATTACTTTCAGAGGTAGTTTCTGATTGGACGGTTGATCAGTTCAGTCAGACTGATGCTGATGAATCAGAATCTTTCCTGTAAAATATCTGCTTTACATCCTATTCCCTTTCATTTATAACATAAATGACACACACACACACACACACACACACACACACACACACACACACACACACACACACACACACACACACACACACACACACACAGAAGCTTGTTTGGATCTGGGAAACTTACCTCCTCTGGTTTGGATCTGATGGAAGCCACAAACACCGCCATGGCCACCAGGGACACAGTGAGGATCCCGCACCACACCTGGAGCAGCAGGTACTTCTGGGACGAGCGAGACGGAGCCTCCATCCTGTCAGAAAGACATCTGCATCATCTTCAGGCATCTCGTTCAGTCGCTTTGGGCTGGGATGACACCCAGCTCAAAGTTTCCACCTCTGAATGCAAATCAGCATTAATGCGCCATCGTAGGCAGCGATGAGGAGGAGGGAGGAAAGCTCAGAGAACAGGTGGTGTTCCTCACTCACTGGGTCAGGTTCACATTCATTAGATGAAGACATGAGAAGATTGTGAGCCCTGAATTCTATTCGCTTTATTTCTATAGCTCCAATTCCATTATATAATCTCACTCACTTTATAGATCCAGATCAACCAGATCATCCAGTCAGATTGATTCAAAGTTTTCTATCTAAGGAAAACCAGCTGATTGCATCAACTCATTGACTCTTCAGCAATCCCTCACACTAAGCATGCTTGTAGCGACAGGGGAGAGGAAAAACTCCCTTTGAACAGGAAGAAACCTCCAGCAGAACCAGGCTCAGTGTGAGCGGCCATCTGCTGAGGCCCACTGGGGTTCAAGGAGACAGAAGCAGACATAGAAAAAGAAGCATAGATACAAAAGGCAACTGTCAACCAGCTCCACAGGCGGCCCCGTCCAGGAAACACACAGCCAGGCAGACGAGCTCCGAGCCAGCTCCCATGTCAGAGGATGAAGAGAGCACATCCAGTTAGTCACAGTCAGAGAAACAGGACTACACTGGAAAAACACTGAGAAATAATGCAGAGCTACGACCAGATGGTTTAACCTCGTCGAGTTGGACTAGATTTTATCAGATAGATCTAGATAATGTAGAACTTTGTTGTAGAGGTGGAGGTCTCTGCTAAAACATCTCCTCTGAGCTCCCCTCAGTCTGAGGTGAGCTCCAGATTTTGATTAGTCCATTCTAACCCATTAACTCAGCCTTTCCATCGGTTGCTCTGCTGGACGCTGAACCTGCAGCCCAGTCCTGGTTTAGCTCCGCCCATCCATCAGGGCTGCTCTGACTAGGTGACTACAGAGATTCATTTAGGGTCGTTAGAGTAGAAGAGCTGATGAGGAACATTTCAGCCTGATGGCAGACTGAATAGAAGTAACCAGAAGGAAGCCGAAGGGAAACAGGTACAAAGGGGCAACAGAGAGGGACTCAAGAAAGGAGACCAATGTACAAGAAAACACAGAATAACATCAATCAAAGTGGAAATGAAAACTCAAACAGGAGTCCAGGAGGGGAGGACCATAAGAGATGCAGGATGGAGAGAGACTGAGACCTCGGCTGGATGCAGACCGAGGAAGACCTGCTTCACTCGACGGGACACACGCTCACAGCAGGCGTTTATAGAGCAGACTGCCGCAGTGCATCCTGGGTAAATGCACCTGAAACACGGTGAGTGAAGCTGCTCTGCTGGTCTGGGATTTTACCTCAGTGGGAGTTTGTGGCGGCTCTGCTTGGTGTTTTTCTGTGTGCTGAGTCACACTGAAACCCGTCTGAAATGCCACTGACCTGCAGAGCTACTCAGGTGGTTTTCACTTGGACTCCAAAGCTTTCACACGTGTTTCTATCAGATGTGGGAATTTTCCTGCCACCAAACCAGTCCTTCCAGTCCATAGCTTTAAGAGGAGCAGCAGGCTCACTTGGTTTACCTTCGGATACAGGTTCAGCTCATGAACTCCTTACTTCTGTCTTTGGTTCGGGATGTTTTTCCGGCTTTAGGTCAAAGTTCAGTGTTTCTGTCTCAGACCCTTCCAGCTCCTCCACCTTTAAAGCTCTGAACAGCAGCAGGCAGGAGAAGATGAGTGCGTCTCCATGATAGTCTACGTTAGGAGAAGATGAATGAAGAGTGGATCTGCTCTGCTCCTCAGGTCCTGGAGGAGCAGCCTGCTCCTCTTTATGGATGTTTTATGAAAAGCACATCTGCAGCAGAACAGTTTTAACTTCTGATGAAATTTTTCAATCCTGCTCATCTTTCACTGCAAAGCAAAACCTCTTCATTTTGGTTGAGCACAATAAAAGGTTTTAAATGTTTTTAAGCACATGTTTGGTTTTTGCTGATCAAAGGCACTTCCTGTTTCTCTGGAACTGAACAGGATGTGGCACAGAGGCTCCTTTCTCTGAGGACAGACTGTCTGTCCAATGAGCTGATTGGACAGGAGGAAGATTCCAGTAATCGAGGCAGAAGACGTTACTCAGCCCGATGTGTCCTCCTTTCTAGAAGCTCTGGATCTAACTAAAGACCCTGGGCTGTGACTGACGCAGCTTTTCAATCCCAGACAGTCCAGGAGGATCTGCTGTCAGAAAAAGATTCACATTTGGAAAACGATCCTTTTCTCACTGTCAGACTGTCTAATGCTGAGGAGCTCTTCCTCCAGAGGGCCTGGGGTCGGAGTGTGACATCACCAACTAGAAGCTGTTAAAAGCTGCTGGTAAAATGAAAATGGATTAACACTGAATGACGTTTTAAAAAGAGAACTGACCTTCCTGTTTCTCTTTTACCCCATCAGAGATGAGCAGGTTAGAATATCCTGCTGTAAAGGATTGAAGCCGTTCTTTCTGAAGCTGCTCAGAAGTCAAATAATGGCTGCTCCTTCCTGCCCCTATGAAACCCTAAATCTGTGTAGAGAAACGACACAGCTAAGCTGTCCATCTCAGCCATCCGCCTGCAGCCGTCTGCCTGCAGCCGTCCGCCTGCAGCTGTTTGCCTGCAGCTGTTTGCCTGCAGCTGTTTGCCTGCAGTCGTCTGCCTGCAGCCGTCTGCCTGCAGCCGTCTGCCTGCAGCCGTCTGCCTGCAGCCGTTTGCCTGCAGCCGTTTGCCTGCAGCTGTTTGCCTGCAGCTGTTTGCCTGCAGCTGTTTGCCTGCAGCTGTCTGCCTGCAGCTGTTTGCCTGCAGCTGTTTGCCTGCAGCTGTTTGCCTGCAGCTGTTTGCCTGCAGCCGTTTGCCTGCAGCTGTTTGCCTGCAGCTGTTTGCCTGCAGCCGTTTGCCTGCAGCCGTTTGCCTGCAGCTGTTTGCCTGCAGCTGTTTGCCTGCAGCTGTTTGCCTGCAGCTGTTTGCCTGCAGCTGTTTGCCTGCAGCCGTCTGCCTGCAGCTGTTTGCCTGCAGCCGTCAACCTGCAGCTGTTTGCCTGCAGCTGTTTGCCTGCAGCTGTTTGCCTGCAGCCGTCTGCCTGCAACTGTTTGCCTGCAGCTGTTTGCCTGCAGCTGTTTGCCTGCAACTGTTTGCCTGCAGCTGTTTGCCTGCAACTGTTTGCCTGCAGCTGTTTGCCTGCAGCTGTTTGCCTGCAGCCGTCAACCTGCAGCTGTTTGCCTGCAGCTGGTTGCCTGCAGCTGTTTGCCTGCAGCTGTTTGCCTGCAGCCGTCTGCCTGCAGCTGTTTGCCTGCAGCTGTTTGCCTGCAGCTGTTTGCCTGCAACTGTTTGCCTGCAGCTGTTTGCCTGCAACTGTTTGCCTGCAGCTGTTTGCCTGCAGCTGTTTGCCTGCAGCTGTTTGCCTGCAGCTGTTTGCCTGCAGCCGTCTGCCTGCAACTGTTTGCCTGCAGCTGTTTGCCTGCAGCTGTTTGCCTGCAACTGTTTGCCTGCAGCTGTTTGCCTGCAACTGTCTGCCTGCAGCTGTTTGCCTGCAGCTGTTTGCCTGCAGCCGTCAACCTGCAGCTGTTTGCCTGCAGCTGGTTGCCTGCAGCTGTTTGCCTGCAGCTGTTTGCCTGCAGCTGTTTGCCTGCAGCTGTTTGCCTGCAGCTGTTTGCCTGCAGCCGTCTGCCTGCAACTGTTTGCCTGCAGCTGTTTGCCTGCAGCCGTCAACCTGCAGCTGTTTGCCTGCAGCTGTTTGCCTGCAGCTGTTTGCCTGCAACTGTTTGCCTGCAGCTGGTTGCCTGCAGCTGTTTGCCTGCAACTGTTTGCCTGCAGCTGGTTGCCTGCAACTGTTTGCCTGCAGCTGTTTGCCTGCAGCCGTCAACCTGCAGCTGTTTGCCTGCAGCTGTTTGCCTGCAGCTGTTTGCCTGCAACTGTTTGCCTGCAGCTGTTTGCCTGCAACTGTTTGCCTGCAGCTGGTTGCCTGCAGCTGTTTGCCTGCAACTGTTTGCCTGCAGCTGGTTGCCTGCAACTGTTTGCCTGCAGCTGTTTGCCTGCAGCCGTCAACCTGCAGCTGTTTGCCTGCAGCTGTTTGCCTGCAGCTGTTTGCCTGCAGCTGTTTGCCTGCAACTGTTTGCCTGCAACTGTTTGCCTGCAGCTGGTTGCCTGCAACTGTTTGCCTGCAGCTGTTTGCCTGCAGCCGTCAACCTGCAGCTGTTTGCCTGCAGCTGTTTGCCTGCAGCTGTTTGCCTGCAGCTGTTTGCCTGCAGCTGGTTGCCTGCAGCTGTTTGCCTGCAACTGTTTGCCTGCAGCTGGTTGCCTGCAACTGTTTGCCTGCAGCTGTTTGCCTGCAGCCGTCAACCTGCAGCTGTTTGCCTGCAGCTGTTTGCCTGCAGCTGTTTGCCTGCAGCTGTTTGCCTGCAACTGTTTGCCTGCAACTGTTTGCCTGCAGCTGGTTGCCTGCAACTGTTTGCCTGCAGCTGTTTGCCTGCAGCCGTCAACCTGCAGCTGTTTGCCTGCAGCTGTTTGCCTGCAACTGTTTGCCTGCAGCTGGTTGCCTGCAACTGTTTGCCTGCAGCTGTTTGCCTGCAGCCGTCAACCTGCAGCTGTTTGCCTGCAGCTGTTTGCCTGCAGCTGTTTGCCTGCAGCTGTTTGCCTGCAGCTGTTTGCCTGCAACTGTTTGCCTGCAGCCGTCAACCTGCAGCTGTTTGCCTGCAGCTGTTTGCCTGCAACTGTTTGCCTGCAGCTGGTTGCCTGCAACTGTTTGCCTGCAGCTGTTTGCCTGCAGCCGTCAACCTGCAGCTGTCTAGAGCCGTCTATCTAGAGCCGTCCACCTAGAGCCGTCCACCTACAGCCGTCCACCTAGAGCCGTCCACCTAGAGCCGTCCACCTACAGCCGTCCACCTAGAGCCGTCCACCTAGAGCCGTCCACCTACAGCCGTCCACCTAGAGCCGTCCACCTACAGCCGTCCACCTAGAGCCGTCCACCTAGAGCCGTCCACCTACAGCCGTCCACCTAGAGCCGTCCACCTAGAGCCGTCCACCTACAGCTGTCCACCTACAGCCGTCTATCTAGAGCCGTCTATCTAGAGCCGTCCACCTAGAGCCGTCCACCTACAGCCGTCCACCTAGAGCCGTCCACCTAGAGCCGTCCACCTACAGCCGTCCACCTAGAGCCGTCCACCTAGAGCCGTCAACCTAGAGCCGTCCACCTACAGCCGTCCACCTACAGCCGTCCACCTAGAGCCGTCCACCTACAGCCGTCCACCTAGAGCCGTCCACCTAGAGCCGTCCACCTACAGCCGTCCACCTAGAGCCGTCCACCTAGAGCCGTCCACCTACAGCCGTCCACCTAGAGCCGTCTGCTTTGAGCCGTCCGCTTGCAGCCATCCACCTAGAGACATCCAACTGCAGCCGTCCACCAAGAACCATCAGGTGTCCACCTGCAGCTGTCTGCCTAGAACCGTCCGCCTAGAGCCGTCCACCTAGAGCCGTCCACCTAGAGCCGTCCACCTACAGCCGTCCACCTAGAGCCGTCCACCTAGAGCCGTCAACCTAGAGCCGTCCACCTACAGCCGTCCACCTACAGCCGTCCACCTAGAGCCGTCCACCTAGAGCCGTCCACCTAGAGCCGTCCACCTACAGCCGTCCACCTAGAGCCGTCCACCTAGAGCCGTCCACCTACAGCCGTCCACCTAGAGCCGTCCACCTAGAGCCGTCCACCTACAGCCGTCCACCTAGAGCCGTCCACCTAGAGCCGTCCACCTAGAGCCGTCCACCTACAGCCGGCCGCCTGCAGCTGTTTTCCTTCAGTTGTTTGCCTACAGCCGTCCACCTACAGTCGTCCACCTACAGTCGTCCACCTACAGCCGTCTGCTTAGAGCCGTCTGCTTAGAGCCGTCCACCTACAGCCGTCTGCTTTGAGCCGTCCGCTTGCAGCCGTCCACCTAGAGCCGTCTGCTTAGAGCCGTCTGCTTAGAGCCGTCCACCTACAGCCGTCTGCTTTGAGCCGTCCGCTTGCAGCCATCCACCTAGAGACGTCCAACTGCAGCCGTCCACCAAGAACCATCAGGTGTCCACCTGCAGCTGTCTGCCTAGAACCGTCCGCCTAGAGCAGTTGGTCTGCCTGAAGGTTTCACTTTAAATAAGCAGTTAGTCATTTCTGGACGCTTACAGCGACCAGCGCATACGTGCTTCATCAGTATTCTCAAAACATCTCAAAGAGCCGCCGCTCACAATCAAACGCATCAATCCATCACCCGACCAGCAGCTCAGACCGCTTCAAACAAACAGCTACATGAATTATTCTGAGAAAGAGTTCAGGGAAACCCATCAGACCTGGTTCAGCCCAGAGAGCGGCTCCATCCTGATCTCCAGGTGAGTAAAGGCAGAGAAATCCCAGCAACGTCGGACTCACCTGCTGTGTGCTGCAAGCTCGGAGTCCGGACTCATCTGTCTCCTCTCTCTCAGGTTTTTCCCTTTTACGCTGAGCTGAGCTGGAGTGGAGATGGAAGGGTTTTTCTCTTGTTGTTGTTGCACAGAGAGTTGTGGTTTGAGCAGAACGAGTGGGGGGTGGCTGTGGTGGAGGTGGCTCCCCTCGTGGCAGTGAAACTCAGAAGCACCTTTGGTTGGACACGTTTATGCAGTTTGTGAAACCAGAAAGCCTCTTCCAGCTGAAAGTGTGAAGCTCCCTTCTTCTAAATAAAGAAGCAAAGACTGAGCAGTGGAATGAAAGGGGGGATGTAGGGAGGAAGACGGGCCGGAGGTTGTGGCGTGCAGAAAGAAAGAAGCTCGGCGGTGGGTGGCTTTCAGATTTCCCACGTTTATAGGTCACCGTGCAACAAACAAACATGAGTGGGAATTTCTGTATGATGCTGAGCATCTGTTGGTTGATTCATTGTGAGATATGCTGCCGCAGGTTGGAGGCTCCTCACACATCTGAACATCCCCTTCTGAGGCTCAATGGGTCGGGGGTGAACATGGAGGAGCTGAAGCCGCCGACGGAGCAAATTCAAGATCAGCAGCTGAACTTTGGAGGAAAGTTACATCCCCACCTCACAGCCGCTCTGGGTCTAAAGAGGCCTTAGAACGTTCCAGTGCTGATAATCATGATCTCAGGCTGGGAGGGTCTGCAGGTTCAGCTGGAAGATTTGAAATGTTCACTGATCCATTTTCTGTGCTCTGATCTGCTATGGATGCTCTAAATGCTTCCCTTAATGATCCTGGATATAGTTCTTCACTGTAAAGCAGCCCAGAGAGCAGAGAGACGACCGTCCCCCTTATTGTCTCACCTTTCCTGTCCCTATTGGACCTGCAGCCTCATCTAAAGCTTCCTCAGTGCATCAATCTGATGACATCACATGAAGCTAAAACACAGTGGTCATCGTTTTTTAAAAACAAGTTGTATTTCCTCTTTTTACTCAGATTCAAACCTTTTTCTTCCACTAAACAAATTAGCAGTGATCTTCTTGTTCCTCTTCAGACGACATCGATCCAAACATCTCAAAGCAGAACTAAAAACATTTCATTTACATTTTGGTCAAACCAAGAACTAGAACTCCTGTCTTCACTCCTCATTTAGAGATTGATGTCAGTTTGTTGGTGAAACAATAAACCAGCTTTGATTTTAGCATTATTTAGCAGATCCAACAATCATATAAACCATTTGGTGTTTTAATGATTATCACTATATTGTAGTTTTACAGGAGGGATCCATGGAAACCAGGACTTTAGTTGACATGTTTACACCACAGCGTACCTCAGAAAGGCTGCCACCGTTTCTCTCTGAATGCTAATTAGCCATTAGCTTCTGTGTTTACCATGCAGCTCATTCAGTGCAGACGTGCGATCCTTCTAGAACCTTTTTCCTTTAGAACTTTATTTCTGTAGAACCGTCATGATCGCAGCCCTGATAGCTGACATAATTACTGCCTTCATTCACCTGCTGTTCCCTCCTCGCTCTCTAATGATCACTGATCTCACCTGCTCTCTCTGCTATGTATACGGTTCAGCCCAGCTATCAGGGCCAGATCATTATTCTTTGATCATTTGTGTTTTCTCTGTTTATTCATGTATTCTTAGTTTATTGGCGTTCTGTTTTTGTCTCAGTTATTCATGTTTTGTTGCATTAGTCTAAGTTAAGTCCCTGGTTCATGTTTCCGTCCCCAGAGGCCAGGGGTTTTAGAGGGTTTACTGTTTGTCTTTTCTCCGCAGAGACCTCATGGTTTGGGTTCAGAAGGTGGGGAGGTCAGTTTTAATTCCCGTAGGTCTGGCTCCAAGGTGGAGACCAGTTAAAGTTCTGCAGCTCTCCTGGTACCATGTCTTGTTTATGTTCCTCTCTTCCACTGAGCCTGCCTGTCTCCATCTGAGTGTGTCTGCCTGAGCTCACTGCTGGTCTGAACCTGCCTGAACCCTCTGAGGATTCCTGGAACCCTGGATCTGTCTAATCCTGTTCAGATCGAAAGCCCTCTGAACTGTTTCTCTGACCCGGATCAGTGTCCTGCTTTCTCACTGAGGTTGCTGCATCGGGGACACTTTGGACGGCTCTGCTCTTTATCTCGTTTGGCGTTCCAGCGGCTGATCCTGCTTCCTGGGAGAGGATGGATTGACCTGTTAAACCAGGTAAGTCAAATCAGGCGGATAATAATCTCCTGTTAGATGATCCTGGTCAGTTACCTCTATCTCTCCCTCCAGACCGTCAGTGATTGGACGGTGCCCCGTCCTCCTGCAGTCTGGGTCCCATTCCATTGCATCATTTTTCTGACATTAAACATTTTGAAACTTCTCACTCTCTGACTCACCTTGAATGCTGGGTCCATCTGTCCTAGTTTATGACAAGAACTTCATCCCTCTAGAACTTTATTCATTTAGAGCTTTATCACTTTAGAACTTTATCCTTCTAGAACTTTATCCATCTAGGGCTTTATCGCTCTAGAACTTTATCTCTTTAGAACTTTATCGCTGTAGAATTTTATCACTTTAGAACTTTATCCTTTAGAACTTTATCGCTCTAGAGCTTTATCCCTCTAGAGCTTTATCACTTTAGAAGTTTATCCCTCCAGAACTTTATCCTTTAGAACTTTATCACTTTAGAACTTTATCGCTCTAGAGCTTTATCACTTTAGAAATTTATCACTTTAGAACTTTATCCTTTAGAACTTTATCGCTCTAGAGCTTTATCAATTTAGAAATTTATCACTTTAGAACTTTATCCTTTAGAACTTTATCGCTCTAGAACTTTATCCTTTAGAATTTTATCCATCTAGAGCTTCATCCCTTTCGAACCAAATCACTTTAGAACTTTATCCTTTAGAACTTTATCGCTCTAGAACTTTATCCCTCTAGAGCTTTATCACTTTAGAAGTTTATCCCTCCAGAACTTTATCCTTTAGAACTTTATCACTTTAGAACTTTATCGCTCTAGAGCTTTATCACTTTAGAAGTTTATCCCTCCAGAACTTTATCCTTTAGAACTTTATCACTTTAGAACTTTATCGCTCTAGAGCTTTATCACTTTAGAAATGTATCACTTTAGAACTTTATCCTTTAGAACTTTATCGCTCTAGAGCTTTATCACTTTAGAAATTTATCACTTTAGAACTTTATCCTTTAGAACTTTATCGCTCTAGAACTTTATCCTTTAGAACTTTATCCTTTAGAATTTTATCACTTTAGAACTTTATCGCTCTAGAGCTTTATCACTTTAGAAATTTATCACTTTAGAACTTTATCCTTTAGAACTTTATCGCTCTAGAGCTTTATCCCTCTAGAGCTTTATCACTTTAGAAGTTTATCCCTCCAGAACTTTATCCTTTAGAACTTTATCACTTTAGAACTTTATCGCTCTAGAGCTTTATCACTTTAGAAATTTATCACTTTAGAACTTTATCCTTTAGAACTTTATCGCTCTAGAGCTTTATCAATTTAGAAATTTATCACTTTAGAACTTTATCCTTTAGAACTTTATCGCTCTAGAACTTTATCCTTTAGAACTTTATCGCTCTAGAACTTTATCTCTTTAGAACTTTATCGCTGTAGAATTTTATCACTTTAGAACTTTATCCTTTAGAACTTTATCGCTCTAGAGCTTTATCCCTCTAGAGCTTTATCACTTTAGAAGTTTATCCCTCCAGAACTTTATCCTTTAGAACTTTATCACTTTAGAACTTTATCGCTCTAGAGCTTTATCACTTTAGAAATTTATCACTTTAGAACTTTATCCTTTAGAACTTTATCGCTCTAGAGCTTTATCAATTTAGAAATTTATCACTTTAGAACTTTATCCTTTAGAACTTTATCGCTCTAGAACTTTATCCTTTAGAATTTTATCCATCTAGAGCTTCATCCCTTTCGAACCAAATCACTTTAGAACTTTATCCTTTAGAACTTTATCGCTCTAGAACTTTATCCCTCTAGAGCTTTATCACTTTAGAAGTTTATCCCTCCAGAACTTTATCCTTTAGAACTTTATCACTTTAGAACTTTATCGCTCTAGAGCTTTATCACTTTAGAAGTTTATCCCTCCAGAACTTTATCCTTTAGAACTTTATCGCTCTAGAGCTTTATCACTTTAGAAATTTATCACTTTAGAACTTTATCCTTTAGAACTTTATCGCTCTAGAGCTTTATCACTTTAGAAATTTATCACTTTAGAACTTTATCCTTTAGAACTTTATCGCTCTAGAACTTTATCCTTTAGAACTTTATCCTTTAGAATTTTATCCATCTAGAGCTTCATCCCTTTCGAACCAAATCACTTTAGAACTTTATCCTTTAGAACTTTATCGCTCTAGAACTTTATCCCTCTAGAGCTTTATCACTTTAGAAGTTTATCCCTCCAGAACTTTATCCTTTAGAACTTTATCACTTTAGAACTTTATCGCTCTAGAGCTTTATCACTTTAGAAATTTATCACTTTAGAACTTTATCCTTTAGAACTTTATCGCTCTAGAGCTTTATCAATTTAGAAATTTATCACTTTAGAACTTTATCCTTTAGAACTTTATCGCTCTAGAACTTTATCCTTTAGAACTTTATCGCTCTAGAACTTTATCTCTTTAGAACTTTATCGCTGTAGAATTTTATCACTTTAGAATTTTATCCATCTAGAGCTTCATCCCTTTCGAACCAAATCACTTTAGAACTTTATCCTTTAGAACTTTATCGCTCTAGAACTTTATCCCTCTAGAGCTTTATCACTTTAGAAGTTTATCCCTCCAGAACTTTATCCTTTAGAACTTTATCACTTTAGAACTTTATCGCTCTAGAGCTTTATCACTTTAGAAGTTTATCCCTCCAGAACTTTATCCTTTAGAACTTTATCGCTCTAGAGCTTTATCACTTTAGAAATTTATCACTTTAGAACTTTATCCTTTAGAACTTTATCGCTCTAGAGCTTTATCACTTTAGAAATTTATCACTTTAGAACTTTATCCTTTAGAACTTTATCGCTCTAGAACTTTATCCTTTAGAACTTTATCCTTTAGAATTTTATCCATCTAGA